TAATATACAATATATATATATATATATATATATATATATGATTTTATTTATAGCATATACTATAGTAAAAACGAACAATTGGAAAAATCGGAAATATTGTTTTACAGGACTCTCCCCTTTACCCTCACCCTCACCCTCATCCACACATACACCCGTAACCCTTTCTCTCGTTTTCCATATGAATAAGAAAATAGAAAAAAAAGAAAAGAAAAGCAGAAAAAATGGAAGAAAAAAAAGAGAGTAGAGTAGTGGGAAAGAAAATAAAAGAAGTAGAAAAAGTGGTTTCATTTCTGAAATACATTATTCTCGTTTAGAACGGAGCCAAGCGCGGCAACAGAAAACTACGACTATGACTACGACTACGACTACGATGCTGACCCACATAAGCATTTTTCCAATTCCAGCCGTGGCCGATAGAAAGCCAAGCCGCCGAAGTCAAGCCGCCATCATCGTCCTATTCCTCCTCCTACTTCCATTCGTAGAAAGTTATTAATATGTATATATATATATTATTTTTCTTTTTATAATATATATATATATATATCAAAACCATCCGGGTATATAATGTTCGTGCCAATTTCAAATTATCCATTCGTATGATTATTTTTTTACATTTATTATTAGTCGTAAACTTTTCCCCAAAAAAGAAAACAAAGAAACTAAGACGCTAGGATTTTGTTTTTAAGGTTAGGTTTCACTTCGATACTTTATTTCCCTCCATTTTTTCTAGAGAACAAATTTCATTTATATATGATATATGAAAATTAATTCATTGACTTGAAYTTAACGATTTAATCATTACACGATAATTTAATATAATAATAAATTTTTTATAACATATTTATATATAATAATTTCAAATTTTCATTCGTGCTCAAGTTATTCTTGTTTTTCTACCCTACCAATAGTATTCCTCGTAATATACGCGAGTATCATATATAATAAATAATAATATTTTTAATGAATTCAATAAATTCTTATATAATTTTGTTTCTTTTTTATTTTTTTTTTAAAAAAACATTATATAACATATTATAATTACGAGAATATAGATATTATATTACATACTTATATACAAAATATAATTTTAACACAAAAATCTAATATATATAATAATAATTATAGAGAATTCAATGGAACGATGTGGCAATTAGGGGGAGGATGTGAGAAGGAAGGGTGGGAGGAAAAGGGGTGAGGGAACGTTCAAAGGATGGCATTATATCGGTTCGAAAATTAGCGAAACGTAATTGGTGATTCTCTCCTTTCCTCTTCCCACTTCTTCTCCTCACTCCTCTCTCCTCACTCCCCTCCTCCTTACCCCTCCCTGTTCCCACTCACTCATCCAATACCACCACTCACATCACCCCTTTTTTTCTTTTTTTTTCATTCCCATACTCTCCTCTTCCCACTCTTTCTTCACTGTGAACGACAATGACGTTCGTTACGCGACCTTTCCGTCGTTCTTTAATTATCATACTATCTCTCTCTCTCTTTCTCTCCCTTTTTCCCTTTCTCAGTCTCCTCGGCAATAGAGATACACAACCAATAGAAATTCTATACTACATTTTAAAAATGATCAAAGACCGAAATAAAACGAACAAGTTGTGTTGTCGTTGTTGTCTGCTAGTTGGTGGCGGCTGCTGATGTCACGTGTGTGTCAATTGAAACACATTAGAAACTAGTAACTTAATTTGTAATAATTTTTAACGAATATTAAACAATATATATCTAACGCAATTGACATTTTTTTTATTCGTTAAAAATATTAACTCCTTCGTTCTTAAAAATTGATACATTCCAATATATTATTATACTATATCACATTCGTTGGGATTAGATTTGTTTTTGAATTTGTTGTATATTAATTAAAAAGTATGATATATTTTTATTGGTTCATTAAAGAGGATTTAATTTTTTCTAATTACTTTTTATTAATACTTTTTTATAACCTTTTTATAACGTTCGAAACGTTCGAATCGGGGCATGTGATTTGTGGGACCGCCATTTTGAATTATCTAAACGAATCATGGCGTCGTAGTTTCTTGTCGGTACATTTTTTATATTGGTCGAACCGTGTGGTTGTGGTGGTGGTGGTGGTGTACACGACGAGCCTTCCTTCCTTCTCTCATTCGTTGACTTTTGTTTGTCGCGCAAATTTTCTTTTTTTTTATATATATATATATACACATACACATACACAGAGAAAAAGAGAAAAACGACACGTTGTGTTTTATGAAATCGATAGTTCTCGTTTACAGTAGACCCCGGTGTACGTATTTATATATGTACATACCATATATTTTATATACAGGGTGTCCTAAAATGTTAATCGTATCCTATATATATTCTCATCTTTTTATTCAAGAATTTTTAATTAAATAAAATATTAACATAAATTTACGTATACTTTCGTACTGATTTTTTTCTAAAGATAAAGTAATAGTGTCCTAACCCCCGTCCCCCCGTCCCCTCCTATCGGTTTATAATATTTTTTAATGAAATTTTTTGTCGCAAAACGATATAAAAATAATTCAATTACAATGCTACCCGTTCTAAAGTGCACTTATAGGACGACCCTTATTTGACCTTTCAGCTGGAATGGAAAAAAGAAAAACGTTCTCTCTACAATTTTAATTATCCGGAGAATCAACGGGGGGGGGGGGG